AAAATCCGAACCGAAATAAACATCGGAAATAGTTTTCGGTTCGGTTACGGTTCCGGTCCATTAGTCTACATAATATTTCGAGCCGGTTTTCAGTTTCGGTTTGACTAAAATAACGGTTACGGTCCGGTTATCGGTTTCGGTTTCAGTCCGGTCCGGATCCTTGATAGTATGTAAGCTATACAAAATACAGTGCATACATTGTTTTAATCAATTATTAATGCTCAACTTAAAAAGATATAAAGTAAAATTTATTTATTTTTTTTTGAAAACTTGTACATTTTATTTTTTATTCTCGTTAAGTGTTTATCGGTTTTAGTTTTTAAATGTTGTAAATATTGCAAATATTCAATTATTGTCAATATTCACAACACAATAGTTTTTTTAATGGGAAGACTTTGCTTCCTTTGCATTTTGTAGGCTTTGAGTAATGTACAATTTTGCTAAACTTTGAGAACAGAATTGGGAAATGTGTTCACTGTATGTATTAATTTGTCCAGCAACAATCATTGGGTTTAATCTTGGTGGAACTGGCAGTGGTCTCATCAGTTTATTGATATCGTCATCAGGTAGAGGTGGTTCGTCTTTCGCAGCTCTAGCCGCATTCTCTTGTGCTCTTTTAGCCAATAACCTATTTTTGTCTTGCTGTTGTCGCACTACCAATTGCTGATATCTGTTAAACTTCATAGCTTCCTGATTCAGCTCATCCACTCGATCCATCAAACATCGTAACTGGTTCTCTAATACACTAGCAGTTCCCAGATCCAAATATTTGGTACCCTGTTCTTCGGGAATCATTTCGTCCAATTCAGACATCATGATGTTTGTCAAGTTACTGTTTTTTATCACTACCGGAATTTCCACAAAAAGACTTTCATATCCAATTTTTAAGGTGCGCAAAGCTTCTGGAGTAAATTCATTTTCCTTGTACATTTGTATAGCTTGCGAAGTTAGACGATAAGCTTTGAGTGTTAAGAAACCTCTGGCTGATTTTGCTGTATCATAAATAAGAACAACTGACTCTTCTATAGAAGTTTGATAATGATACTGTGACTCCAGAAGAGACAGATTCAAGAAGTTGCCAACATCTGCGCTTTGATACCAACCAACATGAAAATGATCAACGTTCACCCTATTTGAGAAATAATTAAATAATAACATTGAGAATCAAATCAAATCTTGCTTTCAAAATCAAATAATTTAGAATGATGTGCAACACTTTAACACTATAATGACTAATAGAGAGTTATTTAAACTCCTTTAAGTTTTCTTGATGTTGCTATCTCTGAGTCTCATGGCTTGGGACAAGAAAATTTGTTGTGACTTTCTCATGAAAAAAAAAAGAATAATTAAATCACAAAAGAAACCTGTTTTTCTTAAAGCTTGAGAAACAGAAATAACGACAATAAGAAGACTTTAAGAGACAAGACAACTTTATCAAACATCCTGATGTGTTGCTTCACCACTTTCTACAAGATATTTACCATCTCAGTCTTCGCATCATGGCAAGCTGATATTCTTCCTCGTCCATAATTTCATCGTTCTTAGGAAAAGGAAAACAATTTGTTATCTCTAAGCGGTTCTGCACTACCAAGCCAAGAAGAGCACCTTGCGCGACTTCCATGTTACTCGATGATTCTTCGTGGCAATGTTTTACCATTTTCATCACCACCAGACCGTCGCATTGCACATAATCTATTCGCGGTTCCACCTCGGGAATCCTTCTCGATGTTGCTCTTGACACCATCTTCGCTTGAGTTTGATTCTTCGTCGATTTCAACTAACAACAATCCACGCGAGCATCAATCTAATCTCATTAAAGGGTTAGAAAGATCACCACCATGCTGTCACCATATACGTAACTATCAGAGAGAAGCTCGAGAGCGGTCCGTAAGAGAATGTGTGTGTAATCACTTTTCCGCCCCGTAAACTAGCGCATATCCAGGAGGTGGTGCGCATTGAAACTACGCAGCCACGTCCACGAGCGACATGTCGGCGCGTTATGTCCACAGCGTGCGGTTCTATTCTGTGCTATGTGTGCGCCAGTCCAAATGATCTCACACCTTCTTCAAGTACAGGTAGTGTGTAGAGAAGATTTTTATAGTAGGTAATACTTTTTTTAGAGAGATACGAGTTGCGCGCGTACTTGGCGCTTTTTTTAATCTTTTTTTGAAAAGATATTTTGTTCGGATGTCACACATTTTTGTAGACTAGCACAACACAGGCGCACGCTATTGTTATTTTTATTTAACGTGTTGTCAGTGAACACAACCTGTCACCGCGATGACAGATAGTATATACGTCTTATAAACCATATAATACACATATGAGAAATGTCAGAAATAACGCATGAAAATCAAACTCAAAAAATAGTGAGAAAGAGAAGTGGAAAAACAACACGTGACCGAAGTCAGTGACCCCGCCGCGGCCACGCGACCGAGGTCAGTGACCCCCCCCCCACCAAGGCCGCGCGGCCGAGGTCAGTGACCCCGCCAAGGCCGCGCGGCTGAGGTCAATGACCCCGCCAAGGCCGCGCGGCCGAGGTCAATGACCCAGCCAAGGCCGCGCGGCTGAGGTCAGTGACCCCGCCAAAGTCGCGCGGCCGAGGTCAGTGACCCCGCCAAGGCCGCGCGGCCGAGGTCAATGACCCAGCCAAGGCCGCGCGGCCGAGGTCAATGACCCAGCCAAGGCCGCGCGGCTGAGGTCAGTGACCCCGCCAAAGTCGCGCGGCCGAGGTCAGTGACATTACTGTAGTATGTATATAATACATATAATACAATATAAAAGTATAATATTATAAATATATATATAATATATATTTATATATTATATATAACTCTGGATATCTTTTATTATTTCTTGCAAGTGTGTGTGTGTGTGATTCTTGGAAAATTTTAAGATTGCGTTTGATTTATTGTACATAGAACACAGATAAAAATTTCACAACATGCGAAGTAACTCTAGCGACTTATATATTAAAGAAACGATCGAGGGTAGGTGCAAAATAATCTGACACATACTCCGAAACTTAGTTTAATTCTTATTTTATTAATAATTGACGCATTTGCAAGATGTAACTCGATAAAATTAATGAATTGTAATAATTCCAACTATGTGACGCAAAGCATTAAAACGGATCGATGCGTGTGAATTTGTTTACGAAGAAAACGAATTGCACGCTCGAAATATAAATCAAGAGGCACACGGTAGTACCTCGCGCCAAGTATATGCGCAAAGCGCGCGCGCGCTGCGCGAGGTACCCCCGTGCCCTTATCACAAATGATCTCTCTCAACTGTTGAGTTTCCTGCACGTAACCCCATTGATCGCATCCAGAAACAATCGCTTACCGAGCGGCTAAGTAGCAATCGACCGTGATCGGGTCTTACTTTAAATCTAAATCGATTGCTACTTAGCCGCTCGGTGAGCGATCATGCTTTTGGACGCACGCATTGTTTACATACTTTCTTCCGAGGAGTTTACTGCTTCTTCTTTCGACAGAATCTTCTTTTTTCCTAAGTATCTCAGTAAGTTCCTCATGCATTCTAACTTATTGTTTAGTCGCGTCACCTTTTGATTTAAAGTCTTTAGCTTAATCTTATTTAATCTACGAAACTTTTCAAACATTTCCCAACTTTCGCGAGAAGTAAAATCTTCACGGCAAAGATCTCCAATAAATCGGGGATGGCAGAAACGCTTTGCAATTGGATTTGCAGATTTCTTCTCGTTTTTCCTATGAAAATGCATAATTCAAAATGCATAAATTACAAGTAAAGAAATAAATTAGATTAGCAAACAAATTGTTTACGTTACCTTTCCAATGGTAAATAATCTTCATTAATTGGTGAATCTTCATCAATTAATGCTGCTGGACTGGCGGATTGTTTTGAATTAACCTCCGATTTAGGATGTTTATCACTAGTGTCACTGCTGATTATTGTAATATTTTATTACAATTTTAACAAATAGTACGGATCAAGTTAATAGATCAGGTGCATTTTTATTTACCCATTATCAACTTCTTGTTCGGTATTCTCTTCATCCAACGATTCACTAATTGTAAACGTCATTGTCTGTTGTACCGGATGAAGTACACTGGGAACAGCATCTGGCATTAAGTATCTCTTTGGCACATTTTTTATTACCTTGTATCTAAAGTCAGTGTCTGTGAAATGATTACTGCAAACAGAACTGTTTTTAGTAACTTGATGTCCTATTACACTGATCCACTTTTCTCTCAATTCGTCTTTTTGAGGAACACTAAAATATATTAACATACATATAAAAATATTATCACATATAAAAAATTAAACATAAGATGTTAACATATAAAATTAACATATTGCATACATATTTTTTTTTGAAGGTATTTAAAAAGACGTATTGCTTTAAACCAAAAAGCTACGTCTTTTGTTATTTTATCAATCAAATCAACAAAAGATGAGAAATAAATATTATTTACTTTGCTAAAGATATGCTTAACCTAGAAATTTCTATAAATTGATAGTTTCTACTGTACTTACCGATGGAAAGAAACATCACTTTGAACACCATGTTCAGATTTGCAAATGCAGCAAGACCGCACCATCATTAATTATAAATGTCACTTTTTAACTTCGCATTGAACCGATTTATAACAGCGTGTCTGCCAAGTCTCTCAATAAGTCTGCATCACATGCATGCATTGCATGCTATCTGCTATCACTTCTCACTATCACTCTCTCTCTCAACCGACTCTCGAACGTCTATCTTCGTTGCTCTCGGTCACTCCCTCGGCCTGCCGCGGCCACCAGTTAAAAAAATCCACATTTAAAAGATATCAACTCTTTGTAAAACACACATATCTTTTTTTCTATTTTATTTATATATATATATATATATATATATATATATATATATATTTATTATTTTCTCTTCTCAGTTCTTGGAATAAAAATTGGTTTCCAGTCCAATTTGTATTTTCAATTTTGCGTTTCTTACAAATTATTTTTAGTCTTACGCGTTTTTTTGTACATTTCTACAATATACAAGGTAAAAAATAACTTATATATCATTAAAAAAAAAAAAACAGTGAATAGTATTTATATATACGTATATATTGTATATGTTAAATTATTAAATTATGAAATGTATATATCTGTCTAAGGGTGTAACGCACGGAAGAATTAAACAACCGTGGATTTTATAATATGCAATTTTATGGAATGACGGAACGTCCGATTTCCCGGCATTCCGCACATACGAAATGAAAGATTTGATTAATTTCTCCGTGCGATTAATTTAGACGGAGTAATTAATAAACGATCATCAGTCCTGGATGAATCTATAGAGAATGCGATATACGTTATTGTTACACGCACGTGTATTGCTACTTGAAAATTATAAAAAATTTAGAAGAATAAAATAGAGTTTTACAATATATTCTTTAAAATTACTTGAATTATCAATGTGTTATTTTTATACGATTAATATTATAATTATATATATATTATTTTATTATTATTATTATATTATTATTACTTAACCATTAAAAAACACGCATACTCCTTTCGTTTTTTTTTTCCTTACAACAGATACAAAGTACAAATATATGATACACAAGGATTACCAAAGTTTAAGAGAAAATGCTTGCGTTACATGAAATAGAGATGTTCTCAAATCTTAATATGTATATTTGTGGTACGACTTCGTCTTGGAACAGAAAAATAAAACAGTTGCGTGGATCTGTGTTATTAGCAGATAATTAAATTGCGTGTCCTATTTTAAGACACACAAGAAGAAGCTCTCAGCTTTAGGTTTGAACGTTTGAACTGAGAAATGCAATCTCTCTCTCTGTTAATGCGCCTGCATAGATAATCGTTTATTGTTACTTGGCTTGAGAGGCGTGACACAACGGACGGCGTCCGGAAATCGTTCGTGATAACGTTCTAATCTCAGGTACTTCACAGTTACTAAATTACCTGGAAAAAAAAAAACAGATGAAAAAATTCACTTCGGCTGTCTCAGTCATCATTTGCGTATTCGGTATTTGCGACAAAAGTCGGAGACTTTTTTGTAAAATCGAACGCAAATTGAACGATTGCATCGGGTCGAACACGCAAATTTTCAAGATGAAACAACTACCAATTTCAACAATATCGAATTAATTGCAAAGAACAAGTGATAATCACCGTCGAACCAACATCCGTGTAACGCTCTATAAGCTTTGCCAGCGTCTTCTTGCGACATACACTTCATATACACGCAACCTTCGCGACTACCGATGTCCACTCGAATATGGAGTATCTTCACGTTCTCCCCGCACTTTTCCAAAATCGCATCCTGAACTCTGGTCTCCCAATCGTCTTCGGTCTCACTGCACATCAGTAAGCAATTTATATACAATTCTCCTTTTTGTTTTTTGTTTTTTTGGTTAACCTTAAAAATCATAAATTTATGTATAAATTTTGTAATGCGACTTACATGTCCGGATCAAACATGTGTCTAATTTTTAAACAAGGTGTCGGCGAACAAGTCAAACTGTTAACCGATCCTTCCATCGTTTCGAACGCTTGTCCTTGCCAGATCTTTGGTTTCTTACCCAGGGGGCTTGCGCTTTGCACGGACGATTTGTTCAAAGTGTTATTTGGCAGCCAACGCCACACGTGAAACTCTTCACCCGCCACTTGTTGCACCTCTCTTCGAATTCTGCGAAAATAAAAAAAAAAAAACAATCGCATCCCAAATATCTTTTCGCAAGTTCGCGAACATTACACAGCGGACGCGTAAATTTATTAATTGATCGTAATAAACGGTAACGCGAAGCTTTTTTTTTTTTACCTGGATTCATTTTCATCAAGAAATTTCACCGCTTTCTCCCAGAGACTGGCCATTCTTTTGCGATCCTTCGGTGGGATGAGATTGTCCCGCACGTGATTTATGGCGAGAAAACTTTCCTGCGTGCCGGTTTGCGAGGACGCATTTTGATGATGCGTCTCGACGATGTTTATTATCTCACTAACGAGTTTAAACACCTCTCTCTCCGTGCTCTCCTTGTACTTTAGATACCAAAGGTACGACTTATAAATCCCGATACCTATTAACGAAACTAAAGACACACGGCATCCGTTATACAGATCTTTCGTTGCGACTTCTTTTTGATATACACACACACACATGCAATTTACAATATCTCACTGCATCTATCTACTTTACAAGCAGCTGTTTTAACACAAGTATTTCTTTATTCAATTTTATTTTTATTTAAAATATTTGTTTTTACTTTAAAATACTGTAATTTGAGAGAATTAATAGAAATAATTCTCGCGTTGCGCGCAAAGTAAAAATTCAATTTACAACAAATTACAAAAACGATATTACAAACGATAAAACACAAGACAAAATCAATCGTGTTAACGGTACTACAAAACATGCACGCAAGAGTTTTTTTATATAAAACGGCAAGAGAATTAGCAAGTGTTCTCAAATAAACAGTCTGTTAAAACTTTACCGATTGCCACAATAAGCATTGTGGAAAAGATAGCGAAAAGCTTGTTCTTCACGAGACACCGCATCGGCAACTCGGGATTCAGAATTGTCATTCCAACTTTTCCGGTCAGACGGGCGGAAAATAATTTATCCTGCAAAAATTGAACGCATTCTTTTTTTTTTAGTTCAACAATGAAGGCGCGCTTGCGTGTTAAAAAAAAATATCGATGTAAATATGTTATATATTTACCAGAGTATCTAATATCTCAATCGCTCCGTTATCACCGCTCACATCGATAAGCGAAATACCCCATCTGGGATTCTTAATAACTAAGAATTGTGCGCTCTGCAGATCCTCCTTCACCTCAAGACTTGTCTGATGAAGAAAAATGAACTCATAGATTAGCAACAACACACAGTTTCTCATGTAAAAATGCAAAATTTATCATCAACAAACAACGTCAAAAACCCACCACTTTGTCGCTCGTATACATCTCCGTTATTTCCGCATCTATTAGATACGAGTTTTCGTTCGGGTTCTCGCATGTCTTAGACACCGCCTTTTTCGTCAGGTCGCGTTGAAGAAGTTTCAACAGTTGCAACACGGACTCCACGTTCTCCTTCATTACGCAATTCACTCCGGGTGTCTTAAGATCTCCCTCGGTAAAACATTGTGGTATATTGTTATCTATAAATATAGATGCAACGGGGCTATAAATCAAGATTACTCATTACTCCACACAAAGGACTAAAAGAAAACTTAAAAAAACAGCAGTTGAGAAAGTTGGACAGATCCGTCAAATCAATATAAAAGAATATAAAATTAGTTTATTTTTGATACAACAACAGCAATTACTTAAAACTTAAATTAATACTTAATAGAATAGCAAAATTGTGGTTTTATAAACAAAATTATTACAAAAGATTATTGCTTTGATATTTCTCATTAAATTAAAAATACTTTGTGTATCATATACTCAAGCAACTTTTAAGTTGCGAGTTGAATCAATTAAACTTGACGACAGCAAAGCACGCGTATTCGTAAATAATATAGTTATAGAAGTGTGTAAAAACAGACATGTTTTTTTTTTTTAAAGTACGGGAAAAGGAAATAAAATATCCAAACTAATTCAAGAAATATGATATTTTATTGTACATAAATATATAGAGGAAGAAAAATACATATTTAAAAGATTATTCTTTATGTGCGTGTTAAAATTGTATTTTTAAATTTCATTAAAATAAACGAGAGATTGAATGTTAGTAATAATTAGTATTACATCTCTCTATATATATATATAAAAGATCAAGAACATAAATTATTATGCACTTAGCCTTTTGTTTTTTATTTAACGATAGACAATTTTCACGTCTATTAGAGAGAATTTGTGTGTGTTTGTTCTTCTGGAAGAGAAATTTAATTTGTCTCTGCATACCTACCAGATGATAGTGACGGAAGCGTCTCAGTTTTTCCGCCAAGTCCCAGATAAATTATTGCGAGGACTACGAAAAACAGAGCGACCACCGCTGGGAGAACCATCGACACGATGTTCTGATTGTTCCGTACATCTTCTCTGTTCGCGTTCGTTGTCGACGGTCTGTAAGGCGCTCTACTGATAATATCCGGAACTCGATCGACGGACGACACACTGTGTCTTGTGCTAAACAGGAGAATTGTCGATTTTATTACGAGTTGAAATTTTTTAGATATAATCATTGTGTGTGTGTGTGTGTGTGTGTGTGTGTGTGTGTATATATATATATATATATATATGTATATATATATGTACCTTGGCTGACTCGATGGTGAATACATAGTCCTGAACGAAGAAAAATGACCGTTTGAATCCCTTTCTTTTACCTCCGGTAAGCTGGGCGACGATGGATATGTTGGACCTTAAATGTACAAATTTCCAAAATATATTCACGAATTATAAATCAATCTTTTAAACAATAATTATACTGGCAGAACTATACATATATTTCGCCATAATTTTGAATAAAATTGAATAGACGGTAAAGTTAAAGTTCAGTTTTTTAATTTCAATATAAAAAGTTTTATTGCGATCGAAAAATATTTAAAAAATATACTTACTTTTTATCGGTGTTGTTGAGCTTCCAAAGGATCGTGCGCTAAGTCGTCTCGTAAACTCGGACAAAAACGGAGTATCGTAATTCGCAAGAAGATCTCTCTGGCTCGTGTTATCCTTGGTGCTCACATGAATTGTTGGTTTGTTGGTTTTCGATATTTCATCATGATCGAAAGCATTTCGATCGTATACTCGCGAATCGTACAGTTTGCTAGTCGGATTGGACAGGTACTTGTAATAAGATCGCGAGTATGTGTTTTCGTTGTCCTCTACCGCATCGGAATCTGATCCGGTTTCTAAGCCATCAGATTTGTAGGTCGATCGTTGGGTTTTGACGTATTTGTTCTGCGCGGTCTTCTGGGTCACGCGAGTTGTCGAAGACGTTACATTTGTGTTGTCGATGTCTATTGTGTTAGGAGGTTCTTTGAATTCTATGCGCGGTGGTGGTGGTGTCTGATCCTTCTTGATAGAATTCTTCGGTCCTGGCACGGTCCCATCAGATGGAATAATTGTAGGCGGAGGCATTGGATTTGCCAATGTCTGTCTGCGTAAGTTTGCATTCTTCTTCTTCTTAACAACGGTTGTGCCTATGTCATCATCTGTGTCATCACTGCTGTATCTAATACGCAAATAACAAAAACTATATGATATAAAATACACAAAGATATATACAAGTGTTCTACATACATATACATATAAATATATATATATAAGTATACATATATATATATATCTATAAAATGTGCAATTACTTAAAGAAAAGTAAAACAAATATCTCTAAGTTCTCATAAATTCTTTATAAAACTCTCTCGAAAACAAGATGCCACAGGCACGCGATATAGATCACTTTAAATCACACGCTTCGCGTTTCATTTGCCTTGTAAATAAGAAGAACGATTTGCCGTGCACGCAAACTCGATGTATAAATCGTACCGGTTAAATTTTTTACTTGTGTGCGTGACTTTCCCCTTTCTAGGATTATTACCGATATGTAACCATCTCGCTCCGAGAGAAGAAAAACAAATACACGAGATGCGCGAAAACAAAAAAAACAAAAAAAAAAAACATCGTCTTCCCGAGAGAAAAAGCTCTTGTTACCTTGCGGCCAACGAGTGCCGGGAGCCGCTGTTACCCCCGCGTGTCTCTTCGAGGTGTTTGAGCTTCTTCTGGAGTATCTTGCGGGTCGTTTGTGTCACCGGTCCCACCGGGTACCCGTACTCCATCAACCTCGTTCGCAGTTCGGCATCGCTCAGCGTGTCCACCGACATTTTGGTTCCCCGCGCCGGAGTCAATCGCGCGCCAACAACAAGTTCCAGGATCAAAAAACCCAACTCGGTCTTGAGACGCAAGAGTCTTATTTTGTCAGCTTACAACACGGTACAACACGCTTCCACAGCGAGAGACGGTCGGTAACGTCGCCGTTTATTTTGATCGATGATCAATCCCCCGCACCTTCCGACAAAATGAAAATCTCTCGCCGCCTCGTTTTCCGGATCGCGCACGTGGACGGTTAGTCCCCTCCGCGTTGTCCTATCTCGGTAAGTTCGGCGAGAGACCGCTGAGACTCGCATCAAACGACACACACCGCCGTCGGACTTCCGCGCACTCGATCACGCGGCCTCGCTTTTCCCCAAAAAGAATTCAATTAACCAACTCGAGTAACTGAAAAAAAAAAAAAAAATGGCGCAATTTTCTAACGGTCGAGATCACGCGAATATGCAAGACATGCGTCCAATTGTGCGTGGTGTATCAATGCGATTGTGTGATGTCGCGGCACTTTACGGCGCGGGCTGCTCGAGGTTGTTTGGTTGAATTGCTTTTCAACGACTCCAGAGGACGCCACAGGCCGCATTTGTTCGTTATCACGCTCGTCTACGCGGGAGTTTTGAAAAAACGCGCATACTTTGATCCTCTCGTACTTCGTTCTGTGGTGTCTCTTCTCACATTTATTCTGTTCCTGAATTTCTGAGAGCGTTTTTACATTTATATAAAAAGTCCGTAAAAAAATTCTGAAAAAAGAAAAGCAAAATTCCACAACTCAAAATTATTATTTAGAGTATCAACTCCAAATAAAAAAGTTTAGTTTGTTCGTTTATATAACAAAAGTAAAAAATTTTAAAAACTTTTTGTCAAGCAAGAAATTAGAGCGGAAAGTAGGATTTGGTCAATTCAATTGTTTCATAAGAAAGTCGTGTAATTAGCGGACGTTCAAAAAGGAACATTTCTGTATATATATATGTGTACAAAATATTCATATACAGTGTTATACCTTTAAAACATTATATTGTATACGTATTGTGTTTCTTTGTACAATTACGTTTAACATTAGAATATGGCGCACAAATAATACGATAATTTATTAATATAATACGTTAATTTATATTATATTAGCATTCATACTTAGAGATGCAATCGATATACTTTTCATGGTAAGTGCGATATGTATATATAAGAGAGTAGAAAGTATTGTACAAAGTGCTGCTGCTGAGAGAAAAAATGCATATTTCTAAACAATCATGTATAATATAATAAATAGAAAGCGATGATATATCTCTTAAATTATTTATGCTCGTTACAGAGAGATCGCTGCGTATACGACCAAGAATTGTCTTTCAATAAGGTAAAAAAAAAAACAAAAAAAATGGCGCAACCACGCATCTCGGTTCTGTCGCCAATTTGCAAACGTCGACGTGACAAAGATCCGATATACATTAAAACTCTTACATATAAATCATTTAACTTTATTTCGAAACTGATTTTCGAAAATCTTAAGTATACTTAATCTATTGATTTGTTTTTCGGTTTAGTAAAAAATGTGCTTAGAGAGATATGTTTCATTGTAGAGAAAAAGAGAAAGAGATAGAGAGAGAGAGAGAGAGACACAGTCGATTTTTATTCTGACAATTATTTATATATATATATATATATATATATTTTTTTTTTCTCTCTATATGACGGACACGCGTGTCTTCTCTCGTCTGCAAACAAGCCGACAGAATAACATTACATTATAGTCAGCATACACAAAAGACCGCCGCAACAGATTGTCTTGTGTGTTTATATACGTGCACATAATATATAGAAATCACAAATTTTTGTTACATATATATATATATATACTCTCTGTATTTATGTATAATTTCCCTTACTAGAATTCCTTATAGGAAGATTACTCCGCAAGATTACTTCTTTATGTGATAAAAAGTACTATGCACGCTAAACAATTTTATTTATATAAATATATATATAATATATATATATATGTATATATATATGCTTATATATATATATGTATATATAAGCGGTTAAAAGAATTAGAAAATCTCCTACGTAAGCGGAAATACGTTTAACAATTACATATTGTACTCAATTCGCAATAGTCTTTCGAGTTTCTCTCGTTTTATTAACCGTGTCGAGTGAAAATATTCTCAAAATTCAACAAACACGTGCTTTCAAATATTCCTTCTGTTTTTTTTTTTTTTTTTTTTTAGAAAAAAAAGCATATATAGAAATTGCATCGCAACAACTGTAACTGCGCGTTGATGTTAATCCGACTGTATAGGAGAATTCAATTCGTCAACGTAGAGTATACCGCGTGTGGTTGCATCGGACCGTTTAATATCTGCAAGTGTATAAGGCTCACTCTAAAAACTACTATGGTACTTTTTTTTTATAAAATATTATATCTATATATACACATATACGTACACGTCTCTAAATGCAAACAACGCAATAAATAACATCTGCCCGAGCTGCCTCTGTTCAATCCCACACTTAAACATTTTGTGCTTTGTTAATTAAACTTAAACATGGATACATGAGGTAATAAGACATTCGCTAACAAACGCTGCTACACGCTTTGCTTCTCGATGCAAAAACCTTTTTTTTTTTTCGATACGTTCGGGGACTCTGATTGCTTTTTTACGCTGCAGAAGAGGTCCATATTCTTTTCGATACACATACTGGGGTGCTATACAATTAACTTATTCTTCTCTGATATTCGTAATGAATGAAGTACAATACAAGATACGAGAGGATGACAGTTGGCATACGGTACACAACAATCGTGGCAAATCAATCGTAAACTTCAGTCGCGAATTGTCTTTTTTTTTTTTTTTTTTCAGTATAGCAACGCGTATTCGTATTTTCCGTTCAATTAACGAGTAACAAACCACTTATAAAGGAAAAAAAAACTCGAGAAAACTAAGACTTTTATATTCATTTCTCTTTGTCAGAGTAATATTCAAATAATAAATTATTTGTAAAAAGAAAGCGCGGTTCAGTCTGCAATATTATTACAGATATTATTACAGATACAGATATCTCTGATTGTTACAAATCAGTGAGACAATTTATAACCGTTTCTTTGCAGCGGTAAATTTGTAAAAATTAAAACTAAATTTGGCTTTTGGATTTGTCAAAAACAAAGAAATCATATATTAAAAGTAAATTTATTTTCTTTCCGCATGGTATGCTCTCACGTTACGCATATCAAAGATTTATGACACGCAATAAAATATTTGCAGATTTTGGTGTGTATAAATATATATATATATACTTTTTATGTAATATGCATATAGTAATATAAGTGGGATTGTATATGTATGAAAAGTGAAAGAAAAGGAGAGAAAAAGAACAAAGGAAAAAAGTAAGAAAAAATAAGGATGAGTGTGAGTGTGTGCACAACAAAAACAAACAAATAAATTACTAGTATCTATGGTATGTACATTACATTTACAGAAAGTTCGACGCAAGAAGACAGTAACACATCTGACAGTTTTCGATAAGATTTGATTGGAAGAATCAACAAGACGTGACTAAGGCAATTGGGGAAAAAAAAAAAAAAAAGATGTACAAGCTTCCGTAGTTTTATAAAACAGAATACTCGGAAGTAAATTTTTTCGCGCACGCGAGTGTTCTGTGGAATAAAAAAAAAGTGAAGCTTCAAATATAAATTCTCAAAAGACTTTTTTTATGACAAATCTTATACATGTGGATTTACATATGTGTGTTGTTTTCTTTGAAGCTGTGAAATCTCACTTGCGGGAGAGTGAGAAAACAAAATTTTTTTTACTGAGTTTCTCTTATTATTCGAACGTTCAAAAGTTCCGATTGCAAAAATACAGATTGTCCTAGATGAGACGAGTCGCGCGACTGTTCGGACGGAAGTGGTACTGTTAGCGAATTTTTAAATAGATTTGATGAAATAAGATCAAACATTTTCGGCAAATTCTCAGATTTACGTTATCAAATCTCACATTGCACGTGAGAAATGTGTTGTGTGTATATTACTATATTTTTCTTTTTTATCGATAAAAACATAAATTTCTCTCTGTAATTTCCTCTCTTGAAGTCTCTTTTGATTTTTTATAATATTTACTATATTTCTCAATAACTTGTTTTATGCCTAATTTCTTCACCTCTAAATGAGTTTTCGATAACTTTATCTAAAAGATAAAGTATATCTTTAATCAAGGAGGACAGCTATCGGAAGATATGAAGAAATCGGCAGTTAAACTATTAATAAATTCTCCTAGTTTTACCATTTTGAAATCATAATCTTTGTTTTAAAGTTCTACATTTAATGTTACATTTATATATGTCTGTATTCTTTTTGGTTGTTTTGCTTAAGAAAACCTTCGAGTATTATATCTCCAATCCGATCTGTCATATTATTCTTGGGACAATCTGTGTAGTAATCAATTTTTATTGATAGAACACCAGAAGTAACAGATATGTTTAATCCTCGGACGACGAATGAATGAAAAATCTAAAGACCCGGAGTTCGCTGGGCGAGGATTGAAAAAGAATGATTACAGAAAGAAATGAATTGCGAGAAATAAAAACAAAATACGCACACACTTCTCTACGCATTATTTATTCGTAGAGAAGTAAAAAAATTAGATATAATTATGCTACATATATATATATATGTATATATATATATATATATGTGCTAGATAGCGTATCCCGAGTACTTGTATACTTTTATTTTTACAAATTAATTTCTTAGATCAAATGTTTACAAAATTTAATCGGGCGCTATTCTTTTTTTTGGTAATTCTTTCACTAAGTTTATTTAAAGCCTCAAACTTGAAATACTGTTTAAAACAACGCGCTTGAACTCGAAGAAAGTTGTTTTTTTTTTTAATAACAGAATCTCTCCATTTGGCTTTCAATTATATCTAATTTTGGATTTATTACAAAGAAATATGTAAAGTTTAATTAAATTACACTAAAAACAATTTAAATCCAAGTAATTTGTGCAAAGTTGTGAGTGTGTGAGTGTTGGTATTTGAAAGAAACTTGAAATTCTCTAAAATTGTCTATCTCTGTTTTTTAGAAATGGAAATATAGAAGTTATATATATAAATATCCTACTAAATACAAATGTTACATTGTACAGTTGAACTTTCCGATTCTAATTGCTGTAATTCCAAGCAAATGTACAATTGTAAAATTATGAAATTTTTTGGCTTACAAGACGATTGCAAGAGGTTGCATTACAATTTTACAGATTTTTTGAGAAATCGTAAGTTATTTGCGCGATCATAAGACGCATAGAAATGCACTTCCAAGATTGTACGAGAATTTTACGAGACCAATTTGCGAGTTATCTTACAATTTGCCGAGAATTGCAGCATAAATTACAATAAAAAAAAAAAAAAAAAAAAACGTACAATGTGTGTATATAAAATTGTTCGAGATCATGCAAAATGTACGAAATGACTCAAGTTAATAATGGTCCCGAAATTGTCAGTATAAAAGAGTAATGATCGCTAAGTAACAAATAGTAAAAAAAAAAAAAAATATATAAAAATATCGAAATAATTATTTCTTTAATGACATGTCACATTGTATATGTCCTACATCAAACCGATAATATAATTGGAATACAACATTAATGTAATTAAACGGATTCCAGATATTTCTTCTCCAAGCAATTTCATTTGCAGACTCTTCGATCAATTTTGAATAAAAAAAAATCGATTTACACCTACTGGGATCAAAAATGTGATATGAAAATTTTACATACACGATACAAGATATTTTATCTTTACGTTTTGTAAAAGTTAAATCATAAAGAATTCGGACATTCATATTTATTCGCATTCACGTACTCAAAAAAAAAAAAAAAAGAAATTCTTACATATACTATAAATCGGTCGAAGAATCTGCAAAAGTAGTTTTTCTTCGCGTTTTAGCCAAAATACCATTATCTACCGATAAAACCATTTTTATGGACGTTGATATTCCGATATTTCGTATGTCGTCTCGTATGCGCAAACTGTGTGTGTCAGACTGTGAGAGCGGAATTGTGATAAACTAAATCACCTAGAGAACAACATCGGGCAGGGAGCAATGCCACTAGGCTAGCTGCGTTCCACCTCGTCCACCATGATGGCCAATCATCGAGCCACCACTTCCTATGTCATCGCGTACAGTCTTCTTCTCTTTGTAATAAATTTCTTCGTTTTCCTTCTCGCATAGCAACAATACTGCTCCCCCAACGAGAAAGATAACCGCGCCCCAACCGACGCCATACGCCCAGCCGAATTCCCAATTGGTTCGATTTCCTATTAAATAATATATACATATATACTAGTTATTTCTTCTCTGTTTAACCTTAATTGAGAGTCAAACAATATATGTGTAGATTATATAAAATTGATTTTCAATTGTTAAAACTGTGTTACCAAGATTTAACTCGGCCGCAAAGCATATGGGATATACAATCAGCGCTGTCAAAAGGGACACCACTGAAAACACACAATCAGACGCATTCAATTACATAAAAAAAAAATTGAGAACCGAAAAGAAAACAAGTATAAAAAACAGTAATAAGTAAGTACGTGATACACTTACATGCGATACCCATGCAAATTACCGCGATTCTGTAATATTTCTGTTTTTTTCTGTGATCCTGCGCTCGCAGTCCCAGAGCAGTGAAACCCGTCGCGATTAAGTCCGTCACAAGACACATTATGCACAGAACCGCGGCTGCTTTTATGTAACCTGTAAAAAAAGATCAAAACAAATTGCCAAGTAAGTTCCAGTTTCGTAGTAACACATAGAAGTAAACAATTAACTAAATACCACTATCTCTCGCTGGGTAACATCCTGGAGGGTTTGGTATGTTGAAGGGAAGAGGAGTCGGAGCGCCTTCCTCGATACAGTGGGTGAACAAGCCCTGTCTCCACCCGAGGGCCATCAGCCAGTCCGTTGACGCTAACCCCATTATCATCAACAGCACCACTATGATCCCGCATATAAATGCGATCACCTATAAAAACGTAGGTGCGATGTAAAGACAATCTGCGATGATCAAATTTTCACACACTCACTCGTGAACAAGTAGATAAAATTTTAATTTGTCGCGTGGTAATAAATTACAAAAAGATTCAATGGCTCTGAATTTAATACAAACAAAAAAAGCCAAAACGCTAATAAAATATAGATTGTAATGCAAAAACAATCAATCAGAGCGTTTGGTTGTCATTGAATTTTTTTGAGTGTTAATTGTATTTAATTTTTCGTCGAGAGAGGATTTTTTCTTTTTTTTTTTTCGCGAACGATACCTGCGCGATCTCGTTATCGCCCATGTGATCCTCGGCGACCGTGTACATAATCATTTTACTTTCTGAGAGATGTCTGACGACACTGAGGAAATATTTCCGTAATTCTGTATAGCCACTCGTTTCTGCGTGTTTCCCTTAATGACGAACAACCGGCGACGACGCTTTCATCGGTGCGAAGCGACGTTGCTCGCGAAACATCACGTCCACACACCACCAGCACTGTTTTTTCTTTTTTTTTTTTTTTTTCACCCGCGAACCACCGCGGCGATGCGCCAAGAAAACGGAATCGCAAATCTTCCGCGGATCGGCAAAACAACACGCGCGTCGGACAACAACGGGGTTGAGGGTTTTGCGCGACGATCGCGAATTCGCATACCGCAAAGGGGAAGAGAGAAACGGGGGATGATTAACGCGGGTCAATGGCTCTCCAGAGCGCTGTGGCCCGCAACATTATCGGACAAGGGCAACCCCCTATGCGGCGCGCGCTCGAGCTGCTTTTTTTTTTCGGAGCAAACGGATCACAGATCAATGGCAGTGTGTGTTGTTTGAATCGCGTCCGGATTGTCGACGAACGAATTCTATTTCTATGCGCGCTCTCTGAACGCGAGAAAAAAAAGAGACACACAGAAAAGAGAAGACAGAGAAATGGGGGTGGAGGGTGAGGGAGCACGAAAAGCACAGATCGCAAACACAGATTCTTCGTGACTGGGGATTAGGACGAAGGCAAATCGGATACTGGGTTCCAGGGAGGCTGCGCCCGTCAGTGCCCTATTAAAGGTCGCGGCGCAGTGCGCACGAGTAGAAATCTCTCGCGGTTCTTCCACTTTCTTCGTCTTTCCCTCTTTTTTTTTCTTTTTTCTTTTTTTATTATTTCAATCTCTTTCTCCGCGATTGCAACTCCTCTTTCTCGACTTCTTATCAATTTCTTTTTTCTTTTATCCAATATTCTTCTCTGAGACTACGTTTCAAGGAGCGCGCTATCTGCGTTACACCGCGTCATTTTAATCTTCTTTGCTTTACATCTAGTGAGTAATAAAAGATAGAATGATTCAATAGCGCGGATAACGCGCTTCCCGAACGTAACTCCAATAATAATTTTTATCTATGACTTTTGACAAATTACAAAACAACAACTTTGTTATTTGTTTCTCAAACATCGAGATAATTATTTCTTTAATGTACTATTTTTTATTATATATGTTAGAAGACTGATATACATTTGATATAATATAATTGTGAATTATATAAACTTGTTATGAAATTTATTGATTTGTTATATAATATATACAAATTTATTATATGATAAAACTTTTGCTATATAAACACAGAGAGATTGAGAAATGATTAAATTCTGATTTTAATCCAGAGAAAGGGAGGGAATACATAATGTGTGAAATTGAAGCTGCTGGCTTACCTTAAGTGGTCTGGTTATAGTAAGAATTTCAATAGTAGTTGTCTGAGGCATTATGTATTTTTGTTTTTATTTTGGATTATCTGTAATAAACAGAAATAAAAAAATTGTTAACCAAAAGAATTATTAACATAAAAAAAAAGTTACACTGTTGACCAAGAGAAACAAAAATAAATTTGTTTTATTTAAAAAAAAAAACACATGTGGTCGGCAACAAAATAATATTTCTGTAAAACACAAATCTGTAATTAAACTTAAATGTAAATGTAAAGAAACAAAATATTTTATATATAGATATACTTTTGTGTGTAGATTTTTAAAAAGATACAGGAAAAACATTTGTTCTTGGTTCAGTAAAATTAAATTCAATAACAATTTTTACATTTATAGAGAGAAATGTAATTACACATTTTTTAACGATACATTATATCGCGGTTTTCAATTTCTAACAAATTAATAATTAAAAACACAGTAGTCAAATAACAATTTAGTAAAATAAAGTACAATATCTTATGCGTATATACACAGAAGTTGAAACACACAATTATACTCATCTAAATATAACCTTTTGTGCATCAAAAGCAAAATGAGCAAGATTTCAGTTGAAGTCATCGAAATTCTCGTTTTATTTCTGTATAAAAAAATTAAATGCAAATATCGCATTACTACCTTGTTAAGCGGAAACCTTGCTTTGTCCCATCGTATGAGTCAATTGTTCGATCGTATATAGTGTCGATTTTCAAAGAAATTTATTGCGAAGATTCTCTGGCAATACAGATGCGAGTCCTGTTAAATTTTCACAATCAATTGACAATAAACCCTTTAATGAGCATAAAATAACGATAACGTTATGACGATTGTACGCACTAATTGTCTTTCTTTTGCATCACGATCTCGAACACATCACTTCTTCGTTAATACTTTTTTGTTGAGAAAACAAAAAATTTATCAAAGTCTCAGCTGCGAAAAAGACAAGTACAAAATATAATTTCCGATCAAAGTTTTTAACAGACTATACCGCAAGATTACTTTTAATATATATATATATATATAATAATATGTGTTATTAAATCTTTACTCTTTTTGGTGTGGCTTGGTTTTTTTTATGCGCCAAGTAAATACAATACGCCTACCCACCCATATGGCCAGAGAAGGAAGAAGCAAACTCCAACGCGACTCTCTTCTTGAAGATCAAGTCGACGCTATTCAGTGCCACCTAGCGCGCATAATAAAGAAACCTTCGACGCTTCAGAGAGTAGCTATTTATGGCCAGTATTCATTAATACAGCAACGGACTAAGAAAGAGAGCAAAAGAGAAGAAAAAAAGAGGAGAGAATAAGAGAGAAGTTCAGATGGCGCTAAATCCGTGAACGTTGCTTGGCTTCGCAATGGCTTCGCAACTCGAGAGTTCGAGAGTTAAGTTTATTGTGTACCGTGCTGGTGGTACGACATGTACGTATACCTATAGTTTGTATACGCGATAAAAGGTAAGAAAATTCACAATGCGATATATTGAACATTTTACAAGCACAAATCCTTAATATATATAATCGATTAGATTTTTCTCGTGGTATCAATGATATTTACACTACAAAAATTAATGTAATACAGAAAAACTTTGTATATCGATTTCAAAAGATGAACATGTGGCCATTGGCACAAAATTTATCGTCTAATCCACATAAATCCACGCGATCGTTTATTTTACTTCAACATATGTATTAACAATGAAATTTCATTTTGAGTCATGTTGTATTTCTTATCATTATTTTATCTAAATAAGAAATTTAAAAAAAATGACCACGTGTTTTAACTTTGGGCACGCGGCTATCTACGTATAAAAATTAAATGCTTTTATCTGTGAATTTGAACAAAGTGATGAACTGTTTATCATTCTGAGAACATGATTATTCTAACATGCACTACCAACTGGAGTATCTCTTTGTTATTTATGCTTGTTAAGACAGAATTGAAACATAACTTTTAAAGTTTATGTATCACTTGTTTTCAGATTTATCCACGCCAAAATGAGATAACTAAATATTGTGGTGAGAACTATTTATTATATACAAGGATGTTACACATTAAATAACAGGATGATATCTTTTGCTTATGAGAATAAAAAAAACTATCCTCTGATTATTTTTACATGCACTACCAACTGAGCTTTATTTTATATTATACTTATCGAGATAATATTTTATCATTTAAATTTAATTATGCATTCTCTCTTTTATAGAGTGGCGAAATAAATATCAACCTTCATCGGGAACAAGCACAAGTAAGAAAAGTTAATATTGCTTTTATTATATAGAAATCACAGATTTTGTACACTTAAATGATGAAAATATTTACGTAAGAGACAAGATAAAAGTGTTTTTATCTTACCCTGATTACATCTTTACATGCACTACCAGCTGAAGTGAAAATTTTTTGTGTAACATATATAGAAAATTTAGCTGACTTGATTTTTTGAGACTTTTTGTTCTTTTGCAGGATCTGCGGAAATGTTTTTGTATACGGAACTCTGTACAGGTAAAATTTAATAGCGGAAACTGATACGTGCGTAAGTGTATGTGTAGATGAATCTAATAGACATTACAAGAATTGCAATCCAATTAAATACGATCTATTGATTTAAATATTTATGTAGAAATTTTTAGCATCAGAGTGGGTGACGTTTGTGTTAATGTTTTTACATAAAGTAAATAAAATAGAAAACAGATTAGAAAAAATAAACAATTTATTATAAATTAAAAAAAAAAATGTAGTTGAGTGGCAACAATAAAATGCACAAGTAAAGGATACGGCACATTTATTATCTCTAATAGTTTTTTTTTCATTCTGTTTTCTTTTCCTTCCTTTTTCTTTTTAAGCAATGTTTCGTAAATTGACAAATGTTTATATTATGCATGTTAGCATTATAAAACTACAAATGTGTTAAGATGAATTAGTAAAACATGAAATTCTAAACGACGCGTTTGACAAAATACAAAATATTTGATATATATGTTTTACTTCAGTAAAAATAAGTTTATCATTGTATCGGTCAATTATTATGTTTTCTTTTGTTGATGATGATAGCAATGCGGATATTATCGCATACAATAAATTATTTATAAGTTAATGAAACGACTATAAACTGAATCTCACATGCATTATAAACTTCAATAAATTTTGTTAAAAAAATTATGCTCTTTATTTGGGTTTTTTTTTAACGTTATTACGTTTACATGGTTAGCCCATGTGTAATTATTCACAATACATTGCGCAAGATTCCAATTATGTGTAAGTGATTTCGATTCAACCATAATGAGATTACGCGGAACGCACAAGTTCCAAAAAACAATTCGATTCTCGTGATAATTGCGTATGTGTGTCAAGTACATAAAACTATATTAATAATATACTTTAAAAATATCATATATATATATATATATATA